AAGAGGGGACAAGAAAAAAATATTCATTGCCACTCGTAAGTCGCGGATAAAATGTGATATACCACTGACAGGACCCTCACAGCGAGACAAAATCCACGGACAGCGGTCCTCTACAGCCCTCATGTGGTTCACTTTGAATTTTGCACGTTGAGAAAGCAACTCCCCAGCCTTGGCAAGGAAGCTCCCAGGGCAGGCATATTCTTCCCTCCCAGAAAAGGCACCTACCGAACTTGCTGTGCTCTCGCCAGCCTTCCCCTTCCCTTCCAGCTCCACCAGCCGCAGGGAGGATGCGCTGTCTTCGAGCAGCTTCATCTTGTCAGCCTGCGTTTGCAGGTACAGCGCAAGCAAAAGCACAGAACGCACTTTAGATGGAGGTGCAAAGCCAGGAGCTGCCGCTCGATGGCATGGCAGGCCTCCCAGCGAGGTTTGCCCGAGCTCTGGACAGTTTCCCCTCCAGCCTTTTGTCTCCAAGAGTCAGCAACTCGGCCTCTGAAGGCAAGGGGAAGAAAGCTTTCCCTGCAGTGGGCTTGGAAAGAGTCCTCATCCTCAAGGGAGGAAAAAGACTCAGAAAGTGCCAGTCTTTCTGCAGGCGGGAAGCTTACGGTCAAGCGCAGAGGGTGAAAGGTGTCTGCAAAGACCCTCTGTGGGCAAAGGAAGGAGTCCTCAGCGTTAATCTCTCTTTAGATGGAGATGCACCATGTGGAAAAGCACCTAGGGAAAAAAAACCAAGAGAGGAACAAATTGTTAGGCAGTGCTGCAGCAGAGGACAGTCGGGCTCGGGCAGCTGCCAAGCCCACAGGAAAGCTGTGCGAGAGAGCTGTCTTACAGACTCCTCTGGTGCAGCTCAAAATGGGGTCTTGGTAGCCTCCTCCTGTCCCCTGCTGCAAGCACTCTCTGGGCTGAGGGGCCCAGGGACAGCAACGATTTCCTCTCAACACCAGGCCTGGGCCGGTCCCTCGAGGAATGTTCTGCCTTCTCACAACATGTAGCCACTCACTTTCCACAGGGAAGTTGTCCTTCAGTTTCACAGTTTTGGGGGCCCCTGAGTCCTGTGCCCCAGGACACTGTCCCTGACTATCCCCTGGAGCAAAGAGGATGAACACTGGTGAGAAGGAGAATCCCTGAAAACAGAGAGCTCCGAGGGCCTGGTGCCCCACCCCAGTGAAGCACCCCTGGGGCCTCAGCACATCCGTGTCAAGGGTACAGCAGCATAGTTCAGCACCACGACTGGAAGAGCACCTGGGCAGAAGCAAGGAGCAAAGTACCTTCTGTGTTGCTGAAGTGGAGACAGTCAAGTGTGGGCAGCTGCGAAGCTGTGCTGGAGAGGTGTCCTGCAGCCTCCTCTGGTGCGCTTCTAAAATGAGGTGTGCGCAGCCCCTTCCTGACCAGGGCCTGCAGAGCTCCCTTCCAGCCTTAACCATTCTGGGATTTTGTGACTCTCTAACAGGCATTTTTTTCACAGAAGCCATGGAAAAGGGGTCGGTCTTGTGCTCAGTGAAGGGAAAGTTCAATTCGTAACTGCTCAGCATTGGTAATCTGTAAGCGAGGAATGATCTGGCATGGAGGGCAAGAAGGCCCAGCTGCAGAAGGGTGTTATGAAAGGGAGGACCTCCTTGACTATGACGAGGTGAGCCGCTTTAGCAGATGAGGGAAAGGCCGTGGATGTTGTTTACATGGACTTTAGTAAAGCCTTTGACCCTGTTTCTCACAGCGTTCTCCTGGAGAAACTGGCTGCTCATGGCTTGGATGGGCGTACTCTTCGCTGGGTAAGAAACTGGCTGGATGGCTGAGCCCAAAGAGTTGTGGTGAATTGTTGTGCAATCTGGTAACTACTGATATAGAATATATACTAATATACATTCATTATCAGAAGCTGCAACCTTAGAGATAAGAAACAGCTGGCCTAGAGACAGTGAAGGGACCCAATGAAGAACAGGACAACACCAGACCCTAATATTACCACTGGTCCGAACTGTTCCATGAGGGGTGGGGAATTTAGATTGTAAGGGTATAATTGCCCAGGGATTTCTTTGTTCAAGATCCCTCTTCAAAGGCACCCAGCTCAAGCTGTAGCTCTATTAATAAAAAGGACTTTATAGAAGAATCTCTTTTTGGCTTATTGATTCATCAGAAACCTAGAGTTAAACCCTGTTATGGTCGCTGGCATGTGGAATTTCCGTAACAGAAAGGAGTTAAATCCAGCTGGCGGCTGGTCACCAGTGGTGTTCCCCAGGGCTCAGTGCTGGGGCCAGTTCTGTTTAATATCTTTACCAATGATCTGGACGAGGGGATCAAATGCACCCGCAGTAAGTTTGCAGATGACACTCTGTTGGGTGGGAGGACTGATCTGCTTGGGGGTGGGAAGGCTCTACAGAGGGATCTGGACAGGCTGGATTGATGGGCTGAGGCCAGCTGTGTGAGGTTCAACAAGGCTCAGTGCCGGATCCTGCACTTGGGTCGCAACAACCCCCTGCAACAGTACAGGCTTGGGGAAGAGTGGCTGGAAAGCTGCCCACAGGAAAAGGAGCTGGGGCTGTTGGATGACAGCAGCTAAATATAAGCCAGCATGTGCCCAGGTGGCCAAGAAGGCCAACAGCATAGCCATGTAGCCTCTGCTTCCTCCCACCCACCATCTGCAGCCAGAAGCCTTGCCCTCAGCCTCTGTAGCTGCTCAGCCCAAGGTCTCTGCCCCGGCCTCCCACAGCACCTCAGCCTGACGCTGCAGAGGTTCCCGGCCACAGGCTGGGACAGGAGGGGCCTCCACAGAGCCACAGAGACCATTGGGACTCCCACAGGCCAGGCATGCACCCCAGAGTGTCAGGGCTGAAGGGATGGGGGTGTTTCCCAGCCTCCCTCACTGAACCTGAACCTTGAATCTTTTATTTTTTGCTCCCCAGCATCTCTGAGTAGACCCAGCGGTAGGACCAGGCTGTAGGGTCCCAGTGCCCCAAGTCCTGCAGATGTGAGGAGAGAGCACTTCCCAGGGTGAAATTCCACTCCTTAGTGCACAAAAGAGTTCCTTTCAACTGCAGACTTTTGAACATATTTATTGGCAGGAGCTGGGAAAGGAAGATGGTTTAACAATCCCTCTGACTATCCCACAGGTTGGTGTATAGGATGAAGCCAATGTCTGAAGTATCATGGCATAAACAGTTGCCTGAAAAGCCTCCGGTTTTTGCAAGGAAGCCCAGGTGGACCCTCCATCCTGCTCCAGACAGCTCTTTGTCCATGCTCACCAGGCTCTCTTCTCCCCAGGATGATCACTGACCTCCCCTGTAGCCTGGCACTGCTCCTCCTGTTTGTTCTCTTGACCAAGGCCAGAGACATCTTGGAGCTTTATGAAAGAGAAAGCTCTTTTTTCAATGAAAAGCCATCTTTGTGGCAGACACAAGGGAAGTACCAGTGGCAAGACCACTTCCCACACTACATCGTTTTCTCTCTTGCCCTCCCTCACAACAAGAATCCACCTTAGGAACCTACACCAGCATTTTGGACCACCCAGTGGTGTCTCGCGGCAGTGGCAGGACAGGACAGATGGCCACCCCTGGGTGCCTGGCCTGTAAACTGTCAGTATTGGCCTCTCTGACCCAAGGGGAAGGCTGGCATCTGAGCACCCCGGGCGTGAGCCCACCGCTGAGTGGCACAGCTTGTACCACGCACCGTTCTCCATCAGCCATGCCTTCTGCTGCACATGTGGGTGACCTTGTGGTGGTGAGCACAAGCTGAGGAGGAGACACGTCCTCTTGCGGGTCTGCAGACTGCTGCCAGCATGGGAGGGCAGTTCCTGCGGGATGCCAGAGGAAGGACAGCAAGAGACAGAGCCTGGATGGGATGGACATTGGGGAGCCGGAAAGGCACCTTCTACGTGTCTGTGTCATTAGTGTTCATATTTCACCAACACTGAGGAGCAGCAGCAGAGAGCAGAAGAGGACAAGTGTCTCTGGGCTGATTCCCAGGCTCACATGGAGCAGTTTTCCAGGGAGAGGGCCCAGGCACCGGAGGCATTTTTAGACATCTCCCTAACCAGCCCCGTCATTTCCTCCAGGGAAGCTGGGGGCTGAAGGTACCCAGGTCCCAGAGTAGTGTTGTCCTCAGAGAGCCAGGCAGATGCTGCTGTCTCTCTGTCTGGCCTCGTGCCTACAAGGCATGACAGGTATCAGGCAAATCCAGAGGATAGAAAGAGACCCCAGCTGTGGCAGGGGCATGGCTTGGTTCTCCCCCTCTTGGACTTGCTGTTTGCCTGGCCAAGATAAGCTGGACCAGAACCATTATTCTCATTTGTGGTCAGGAACACCATCATCCCACTGAGACTGTATTTAGCAGGGCCTGACAATTTTGCAGGGGTAGGGGAGGCCTCCCTGGGAATCTGTGACATAGAAAGACCCCCCAGGAGGGCCTTTGGCTGGTGGCAGCTCTCTCTTAGCAGTGCCCCGCAGAAGGTGCAGTGATGCAGTGGGGTGGCTGTGTGGGTTTGGGGGTGCCCTGGTCGCCAGCTCAGGTCTCCCTTTGCATTCTTTGGCTCCTGTTCTCTTGGGGAGCAGCCTGGACTGCAGAGGGGATGGAATCTGTTGCCCCCATGGGGCTGAGGGAGGTTTTGGGCTTTGTTTCTGGGGCAGTGCACAGGACAGCGCCAGGCTGTGTGGCCCATGCACCAGCTTGGGTAGGGTGAGATTCTCCAGACATTGGGGACTTGCTGGCCAAGTGTGCACCTCTCCCAGGGCAACGTACGCACTTCCCATTGCCTTCTGAGAGCCACAGGCAAAGGGTGGCTGTCGTGTGGTATGACAATGCACACAGCTGCCACCGTGCCTCCTGCAGTCACTCCCACTAGGAGTGGGATTCTTTGCTTCTGAGGTGGTCCAGGTAGCTTCTCCCAAGGCAGCTGAGCTGACAGCCATAGTCTGGCTCTCCTTGGAGTATGGACTGCCCAGCTTGGACTCTGTTTTATTCCCTACTGATATGCTCCCACAGAGAAAAAGCAGCAGCAAGTAAAAAACTACTTGGATTCATTTACTTTTATCATTCTGCAAGCCTGGAGGTGCATTTGTATCAGCAATGATATGAACCATGGGAACGGATGGTAAAAATGAGAAAACAGTTCTCACAAAAACTTATACATCTTGTATTTGCATGGCTTCGGGGGGCCACCTGTAATCATCGATAACAAATGAATCGTAATCAGGACTGTAGACGAGCTGTTTCACAAAGGCTTCCTTGTCTGCTGGCTCAGGGTACCAAGAAGCAAGACCATGCTTGTAGGCCCAGTCAACAATCTGCAAAAAGATAAGCAAAATGAGCGGATGAAACAACGTTGACATATTATGAAGTTGAAAGCAACTGCAGTTTGGCCCTGGCTGTATTTTCCCTCTTTCCTTCCCTCAAAACTGGGTCCTTTCTTGCTTTTTTATTTTTGTGCAGTTCCCTGAGTCAGCTGCACTTCATCCCCTGGGTGAGGGAATGCAAGCTCCCTGCAATTACTGGCTGCTTAGAGACGCACAGCTCTGCCCTGGCAAAATGGTTGGAGTGTGCAATTAAAGATGGAGAGCAGCCCTTTAAACACCTCTGCTCACACCCTTAAGCTCCTCAGGTACACTGTGCATCCATCAGTAACTCCTAGCAGGCCAATGTGATTCTCAGTGGGTGTCCCCTGAAGGGGAATTGTAAATTTGATGTATACAGGGCACCAACCCCACAATTAGACAACAAGCCCAGATCTGATATAGTATTTAGGTACTTAGACCCACATTAAATACAGGAGGAGAGGTTCCAAAATAGCAATTTGGAACTTCAAATCTTTTGGCAACTTGCATGTTGTCTGAATTTAACCCTAAACCTGATTTTTTGAAGTGCTGAGCACTCACAGCTCCAAGCAATAAAGTTGAGCTTTGTGAGCTGTGAGGCACCCAGAATCAGGAGTTATTTTTCACATTTGGGCTTTAATGATGGGAGAAATCAAAGCAGCAATTCTGGCTGGAAGGATTCCTGAGAATCATTGCTTTAGGCTGTAGAAAAAGTTGAATTAAAAAAACACAAAGCAAGAATGATGCCAAGGCAATTCCTGCCCTCCTTACCATGGAAAGTGGAAATAAATGAGTACTTACTTGCACAGCGATTTTGAGAGACACCTCTCTGATGGTGCCCAAGGGGGGATAGAGTCTTCCTTCTGCAAGATTCTGCTCTGTCACCTGGGAAGCAATAGACTAGAAAGAAGAGAAAGGTAGTTTACAGAGATTGGTCTCAAGCATATTCCACATTCTAGCATTAACCGATAGCGGCTGAAACCTCAGCAGCGGCAGAGCTGGGACTAGTTCTCAATGGGAAATGCTGAACTATTCAAAATACATGCATTCATACATTTCATTACAGACTTAAAACTGAAGCCAGCATGATGGAAGTGCCGTGCCAGGGCATCAGTTGTGGAGAATGAGGAGAACCCTATCATGGCTCCTGTACTTTGGTAGGTGCAATGGAAGCTTGAGCTTTCCCTGAGACTGGGAAAGGCTGCAGCTTTTTGCTGAGGCTGTGCCATTTCCACCCAACGCATTGCCCCAGGCCAGGTTCTTGAAAACCCCTGAAGCAGGTGCATGTGCCTCTTATAATCTTTTTAAAAATATTAGTTAAATGCCAGTTTGAAACCTCTGCTGTGATGAGGAAGATATCGTCAGAGATGTGCCGGACTCCGCAGGCGATGACTCCCAGTGCCACTCCTGGGAAGACGTAGGCATTGTTTCCTTGGCCAGGGAAGAAGGTCTGTCCATTGGGCAGGGTTACCTTTGAGAATGGACTCCCACTCGCAAATATGGCCCGGCCCTGATACGAGAGAGAAAGGCATTCAAATTCAGAAGAGACATCTCACATTTCTGCTGCTTGCCATGTTCTGCGTTCAGGGGACTCTGGTGGCCAAGTGGACAAATCTCCAGCCAGTCACTGAGAGGCATCTCCACCAGAGCCATCTCCAGTTGATGCTTCTGGAGGGTCTGGTCCCCAGAGCTATGAACAGGGTCATGGAGAGGGCCACTGAGCACGAAGTGGGTGTTTGCATTGCCCAACTGCAAGTGCTCTGAACTTGCTGAGGAGGAGTCTCTTCCTCTCTGTCAACCATCTATTGAGTGTAAAGAGGGACTCGTGGGATAAAGGTCTGGGGGCTGTGTGATTGATCTAGCCAGCAGCAGGTGGTGGGGGAGGGCAAAAGGGAGAGTGAGACAAGGCCTCTTCTCTCAACCCGACTCAATCTACATTACAATAATTCTTCAGTGGTATTGAGCCTGAGTTGGGTGATTAAACTGTTACACAAACAACTAGGTTGGCAAAACCTTAGGCCAGGCTGGATGAGGTTCTGAGCGGCCTGGTCTAGTGGGATGTGTCCCTGCCCATGGCAGGGGGGTTGGAACTCGATGATCTTTAAGGTCCCTTCCTACCCAAACCATGCTATGATTCTGTGATTCTGTGAAAACACAGGAGACAGTAACCTGGGAGGATGAGACATCTCAGACAGCTATGGGTGAGGAAGGCAAGCGCTTTCTTTAGAGGATCACAAAGTAATTCAGGCTAGTAGGGACCCAAACTCCTGCCCACAGCAAGGTCAGCTATCAAATCAGAGCAGTTTGCTCAGGGCTTCATCCAGCCTGGTCTTGAAAACTTGCAAGGACAGAGACTACACAAGCAATCTGGGCCCCTGTTCCACCTCCTGACTCTCCTCACAGTGAAAGTTTTTCTTTACGACCAGCTTGAAACTCTCCTATTTCATCTTACGCCCACTCTCACTTGTCCGCCCACCATGCACCACTGTGGTTTCCTTGGTACAGTCACGGCCACAGCATACCCGTGGCACCCAGCTTCCCTGCGCCGAGCTCCAGTACCTCGGTGAAGCGGTAGCACTGCTCCGCTGTGCACTCTGCTTTGCTGGTGGGGTTGCTCAGGGCAAACACGATGGGCCTCTCATTGAAGGCTGCCATGTCCTTCAGAATCTTCTCAGTGAAGGCTCCTGCAACAGCTGCGACACCTAAAACAGCAAAAGCAGAGTGAGACGGTGCTTTCCAACAGTCTGACTTCAGTGCGGTGGGCTGATGCCTCCTGAATGCTTCTGCCGGTAAATGAACTGTGGGAGCGAACAGGCTCCAATTCTGGAGATGCAGGTGGGAATGTTTCTTTCTCGTATTACAGTGAGATTAAAAGCCTGTCCCAAAATAAAGCCCTCTGCTCCTCTGGGCAGAGAGGGCATCAGTAGGCCAGTCTGGCTGCAGTACTTGGCCTCCTAAAGGCTCAGCACTTTGCATCCCAAAGACCTGCCTGAGCTGCCTGTTGTCATCCTCGTCCTGCCCAGCCTTCCAGGGCCGTGTTTGCTGCCCAGAGCCCCAGATCCTGCCTCCCCAGCACCTCCCTCTCCAGCCCTGTCTGGGAGGGCTCCTACAGCTCCAAAAGAGAGGACACCTGTGCCCCGCAGTCAAAGGGGAAAGGATGTGGAGAACTCAACTGGCAAAATGGGGGTAGAAAAAGCTCGTTTTGACTGGGAGAACAAAAGAAGGCCTTGAAGAAAGAGAGAAACTCTCCTAAGAACTGAACTGACATGCTAAGGGAACTGCACCTATAATTGCCGTAGGCTTCACTTTCTGCACAACCTCTTCCAGCGTGTTCACACTGGGGTGGTCCTGGGCAAACACTTCTTTCTCATGGTTCAGGTGGCTCCTGCCCTGTGAGGAAAAAGAAGGCGTCAAACTTTGGTCTGTTGGCAAAAGGATGAGACATAATGTAGTAACTCATCAGTTCATTTCATCTCTTGGACCTCTACCTAAACCAGATTCCACAGAGCAGGACCTCAGCATCAGCAATAATGTCACATGGGGCTGGTCTCTGCTCCTCTCACCCTCCAAAACACATTGATTGTGTGGAGGAAGGATCTGGCTGCCAGGGCAGAGAAGTTGTACATGTACTGCAAATCTCCTCAAGTTTGAGGACGGAAAAGGGCAGAGGCCTCGAGGACTCTGGGAGTGCAGAGTACAGCTGGGCTAAGCTGGATCACCAAGCAGGGCTCAGTGTTGCCGCTGTAATACCCCATATGGCATGCAAGACTTCCAGCACTGTTTGAGTCCATGGCCAGCAGCGTATCCTACCACTTTAGAGGCACAGCCCAAAGCGTTGCCTTTAGGACAGCCAGTGCTGCTGGTACACTGTCGTCACCATGAGACCTAGTCCTCTGAAAGCAGGAAT